CTTGCAGAAAAGTGGGCTTCCTTTTTCTTTTTTTTTTTTTTCTCCTTTCATCGTGTACCTTGGTACACACGGAAGGTTTTTGTTAGCTATGTAAGCTAACAAAGCTGTGTATTCTTTTATTTAGATACTAATTTAACTTGATGGTTGCATTGAGAGTGACCTGTGCTCTTGCGTTGCATCTTTCCCATTTAGTGCAGGGGACTTTATAAATTTGATTAGCTCATAGCTCTTAAATCTTTCACAGTTTTCAGGTTTTTCCTCTTCCCTCAAAGAGGAAGCTGGTTGTTTTAAATCCTTTCTGTGAATTTAGGAGACTATTGCCTAGCCTTTCAGTATCTGTGATGCTTGATGTGTCCTGGACTTTCCTTTGGCTTTCAAAAAATCATCATTCCTGCACTTTTTTGTTACTGGCGTGTAGGCGATACTGCAACTGAAGCAGCCTGGCAGCAGTTTGGAGGGGAGGGAGCTGGGGAAGGGGAAAGTGTATAGAGTGTTTTTCACCCGCTCTGCCAGCTGCATGGGAGAGAGGCCGGAGCTGTGAGCTTTATAACCCTGCCACCGAGCAGCTGGCTGCCCACCCGCACCGCGCCGTGCTGTGCCGTCCTGCCACAACATCTCCTGGAGCATTCGTAGGGCGGCGTGACTCATTGAGCTGTGGGCATCATCCGTGGGGATGCAGCTGGACCGCAGCACCTGAGGATGGCGTCTCGCTGCTGCCGGCCGGCAATACTAATCCACAGTCAACCTGTCCTTTCCTACACCCCACCGATGGGGTGAGCAGGTTATCGTCGGGGGTAAGCACGTTATCCTCGGAAGGGATTGCCCCACAGCAGAGCAACGGAACCTGTGGGCATCACACCTGGAGAGGAGCAATTGAACCTGTGGGCATCACTTCTTTGGAGAGGCTCGGGAAGCAGGTGTTGCTTTCCCAGCCTGCCCCAGGTAAGTAATCTGATCTTAAACAAAGAAACACAGAGACGGCTGTTTCTTGTTTAAAAATATGTTAAAGCAAAATCCTTTTTTTGTTGTTTTGAAGGCAGAAGGTTTGAATATTCCTGTGCTTTATGCTTCCCTCCGAGCTCCCGGATTTGGGGGGTGATAATGAGGGATTTAATTCTGGGCAGCAGGTGCTGGCAGCAGGGATGCGATGTAGCACCTGTAATCGTCTTGTCGGGTTCATTTTGCACCGTCCGGGTGTGAAAGGGGCAGTCGAGCTTTTAACTGTAGTCCTTGGGCATCTGGTACCTTCCTCCTCCTGCTGTGGGTGCAGACGTGTCCAAGGAAAGATGCTCTGTGTGTCTTGAGGCATGTAGAGAGTTAAAGCTGCTGGGGAGCGATGCCACTGCCTGTTGAGCTGCTGCGCTGGAAAAAGGTTCTGTTGGGAGGGGAATGAGAAGGTTGTTTCCCCCTCCCACTCCCGCTGTTCACCCATCGACTTTTCCTACCAGCTCAGGAGAAAAGGAAAGTTAGTCTTTCAGTTGTCTGGGATTCCTATCCTAATCAGACGCGCTTTTCTGAGTTGCAAATAATCCCAGCTGAGAAGATGTAAAGCAGCCGGCGTGGGGAATGTGACCTGTTGTGCGAGTGCCTGTCTGCAAAACGGCTGGGAGCAGGAGCCAGGCTTGTGATGTGACTGCCCTTCGGGAAAGGGGACCGACGACTGCTGGAGACTTGAACAACGTGGGAGACATCTGTAAAAGACCGATAATTGAATCAGCCCCACGCTCTGCTTTTATGTGTGATCCAAGCGATGGAAGAGGCAAGGAGGCAAACTACATGATAACAGCAGTGCCATTGCATTATATCGCTCCAACGTGGCAGGGCATGGCAGGCTGGGGAGGCTCATGATCTCCAGAGGGGATGTTCTGCAGTAACAGTAAGGCAGTGAGCGAGAAAAATCAAACCAGGAAGTACAATTTTCAGCAGTTATCTTGCGTAGGTACATACCTGTTAACCAGACTTTTCCCTGGCAGCGCTAAACTTTGCACTGTTGCAAGTCATTTGAGATGTTGGTGTATGTTTCTAGTGGTGTGGGTAAGACGTAACAAGCATCCACAGTCTCTGTGAATTTGCTCAGAAATGACAGCATGTCAGGAAAATGTTTGCATTGAGCTTTTTGCAGTGAATGTGAAAATCTCTGTGTCAATGATGTTACTGCTTTCTTTTGAATTTAAGGAGTAAGAAAACCAAACAGGGTCTGACCACAGATGTTTTAAGATGCACAGAGCTCACAGTGTATTGTGCGTGACTCCATCCAAAGTAAAGGCAGACAAGTTAGGTGTGAGGATGGGGACAAACAAGTGACGGTACAGTTCATCTGGAAACTGCCACTGCTTAGGCAAGGGTTGGCACAGAAACAAACCACCCCGCTGTCTGAAAAGCTTACGGGGAGATATCCCTGTTGCAAGGCTTGCCCTGCACTGTGAGGCAGTCACGGAGGGAAGGAGTGGGAAGTGCTCCTGGGTTACGGAGGTGCTGCTTTGGGATGTGATGGGGGGGGTCAGGGATGTGTTGGGAGCAGGGAGGGGTGGGCTTTGGGATTTCAGCTTGCTTCGGTAGCACAAGTCACTGGAAAGAAAATATTTAGAGAGGTGAGATTGAAACTTGTGTTGCTTTTCACAGATCACGTTACTACATATAGGCCATCTGTATTTCTTGGCTTTTTTACATAGTTTGTACTATACTGTGCACATCACTGTGCTGGAGGAGCAGGGTGCGATGTGTACAGTGCTGGTGAGGGACACAAGGAGTTTTTCTTCTGTCTTCCATCTTTTTTGCGTTACCAGGATGTCCAAACTGTGTCTGTCACATTGAGGTTGTGGGTGAGATCGGTCCAGCAGGACAAGATACAGCACTGCTTCTCTATTGTCCCTTGCTGCTCTGCCTTGAGGCCCGGAAAGTTTTTGTCTTGTTTCTCTGAATAAACGTGCAGCTATTTCTATGTCGCTCCAAGTGTGTTCGCACTTAGAAAACAAGAGGAAGGTGAGGAAAAGCTAACCTGAATCCTTTCCTGGAAATAGTATTAGCTAATGTTTAGATTAAGAAATCAAGAGTCAATTACCTGGAGTATTTTCTGGCTTTGACGTAACTTTTCAGTTAGAGAAACCAGTAACTTTCCTGTGCTTTCAAGGGCTTTTTTCTAAAATGCATGTAATAACCTTAAGCATATTGTTCAGCTCAAAGGATGTTATAAGAATTAATGCTCATAAAGCATTTTAAGATTCTTTAATACAAATTATCATTGGAGTGCAAGTTAAATTCTGCTAGTACCATCTACTACCACAAATTAACCAAAATGGTTTTAATATACGTGATCAAAAATGTTTAGTGTAGATCAGTGATCCTGCAGGAACTTTGGATACCACTTTGGTGACATCGAGGATCACGATACCCTCTTAACTGTTGAATTTAACAGAGCTACAGCATCTTTTTGTTGCAGAGGTGTACTGGTGGATACGATCTTGTAATGTTGGAGTGATGCTCATTAAAAGGTCTTGCCCCCAGTGTTTAGAAGACAGGGAGGTGATGTGCCACAACCATCCATGCATTTTCTCCTTGTTGCTGGGAGTGTCTTCCTGATATGAGGATGGAAATAAAATCTTTTCTGCTGTTCTGTTGATGACCTCCCTGTTGAAGCTGTTAACAAAAATGTCAGTATTCTGAGTGGTGGGATTATGATGGGGAGGGTTATGTACTATCAGCTAAACTGAGACAAACAAATCAATTTAGGGGGGCAGCAAAGCCATTAAGCAGTAATAGCTTTTAGTTATTGCTGTTTTGAGACGGATTCAAAGGGATAACATAAGGGTGAAAAACACTGTATTCCACTATCAATCTCCAAGATCATCTAGTCCCTGCACCAATTACCCTTAGACTATGCAAAGCCTGTAATACTGATAGCTGATAAGGAGCAGTGCAGTGATATTTCAAGAGAGAAAGGAAGACAAATCATCTGTATACATACTGGCTCTCTTGAAGGTGTTTTTCCTATATTTAAACAATTAAATACCACAGTGTGAAAAGCACAAGTAAAACTGAAGTCCTCCCAAACCGGGCAGGTTCTGGAACCTACAGCTCAAAGTGATCTGCGGATACATTTTCTGGAATTATGTCAGAAACCTCTTTTCAGCTCCGATGGCTCGTTGGATGGGTCAGTGGAGCCTGGGAAGAAGAACATGCTCACAAGTTTGCATGACGACTGCTAAATCTGAATTGTTTCTATGGTCAGTGGGGCGTGATGTCAGCACTGCAGGGGGAACATCATTTCTTGCTGACAGCAAAGATGAGTGTTTCCCAGTTGCAGGTTGTGATCCCTCCCAAAGGTGTCCTTGGGATGGTTCACGGGAGTCTGTGAAGCATTTTATACTCGTGAGGGAACAGTCAGCTGCTTTTAATTGCTGACTGCACTCAGTCCTTCCAGGGCAGAGGTTTGTACATTATATCAGCAGCCAGTAACTATGACCTGTTCTTGTTCCCTTGGCCAACACAGGCTGAGCTACTGTTAGCACTGGAGGTAGTTAACCTGCCCTTGGCTAATTAAAGTCTGGAAAATCTGGGGGGAAGGAGAGAATGAAAGGGGGCCACACAAATACAGGTTAGGCCAAAAGAGAGTTAAGCTCTCAGAAAGTTTAAGGATTTTTGTCCCAACCCAGGGGAATGAGGGCACATAGAAAATGTGCTACTGTCTACATCCCTCTGCATTGCAACAGAAGTGCAATGTCTTCAGGAGGCTCCGAAGGGTTTGTTTTTTTTTTTTGTGACCCCCTCCCAAAGCGATGCGAAGACGAACGCTCGGGGAGGAGCTGCTGCAGTGCTTCCGTCTCTGAAACCTTGCTGACGGCAGTGTTGTTTTCTGATCCACAGGTCCGGAGGATGGCATAGCAATAACGTCACCATCCAGGGAGCTGGGGTCCTTCCTCGCCGGCCTGCATGCTGCTTGAACCGATGCCAAGCCTTTGTTTTTGGACCGAAGAAACCTGAAAACCTTTCTCTCCTAATTCATGAGCCAGCAGGATGTGGTCGCCGTGCTTTCAGAACGCCTGCTCGTAGCTGCCTACAAAGGCCAAGTGGAGAATGTGGTGCAGCTTATCAACAAGGGTGCCAAGGTAGCGGTTACCAAGGTAACAAGAGAAAAACGCTTTGCGAAATCCCTGGGAACTAACATAACTCCTAGACCATTGTCTGTGAAAACGCCCTCCTAGCTTTACCAATCTGAATGTGACTGAGGTCAGTGTTTAGATTTCCTTAAATGTTATACTTAATAGCTCATGTGAATTTACAGTATAGTGCATGTCTTGTATTTATCCACTTCCCAGTGGATGCAGCTGTGGTGAACGCTGAGTCCTTAGAAATGCAGCGTGCCGGCAGAGGGGCAGCGACATTTTTCAAAGCGTGCATTGACTTTTGAGCACTGTGTGAACTGATGAATGGAGCGATTCATCACTGTCGAGGGAAGGCGGTTCAGAGCGCCCATCTTTCTGGGTGAGGGGATGGGGCAAAGCCACCTGTTGCGGTAGGGTAGAGGTACGCAGAAAGCATTTCTTGCCTCTGAAGTCTCCCGGTACAGCAGCCTCACTTTATACCTGGCACCTTCATTGATTCATGCTGTGTGGTCCCCAGTCAGTTCCAGACTTGGGGGTTGCAAACTGTGTTCCCTGTACCTTCGAGATAAGGTCAACGTTGAAGGATTTCTGCTTAGATGTTGTGAGTTAGGAATAGGTAATATCAGTTTGAACTCTCTTAACATGTCATAAATAATGCTAGCGTATAAAAGGTGAGATAGAATTGGTTGTTACAGAAAAGATTTGATCAGCAAAAACCTTTTAAAAGAATTAGTTAAATTAGGTCTTTAGAGCTGTAACATAAAATTTGGGACGTCCTGTTTTGATGAACTATTGTTCTGCATTGTATGTAGTTTTATTTGTATTTCCATATTGCTTTTGAACATTATATATGTATGGGAGCTAATATTTACAGATAGAAAGAAAACGTGAGTACGTTTGATAAGTAATCTGTTTTTTCCTCTTTTTATCTGTCAGTGACAGTTGTTTTCAATCCCTTTGGAGTGTTTGAGTTGTAGATAGTATTTATTTTGAAAGCTGGAGTGATCCAAGGACAACCAATGTTTGCAAGTTTTGTTTGCAAGGTTTTTTTTGCCAAAACTGAGCGGCCTCTTGCTGGTAGATACAAAGCACAGGTGTAATAAACATAAACGGTCCCATAAAGATGCCTGTTTGTTGTCCAAGCAGCTCTGTAGCTGATGAACAGCTGTTAAAGGTAGTCAGTAATAGATCAGGAAATACTGACTTACAGATGTCTGAATGGTAGCTTGGGGTTTTGTGGTTGGTTGGTTGTTTTTTTTTCTTTGAGATCATGAGCTGTGAGACTGCTGAGGGACCTGAAAATACACAAATGATTGAGAGGATGCTCTGCTTTGTATAAATTTGTACATTAATGTAATTTCAAATCCAGCTTCTGTGCTGTTTGAACATAAAATGTGGTGTCATTTGTAATGGTTGCCAGAATAATCATGCCACTGATTTAACTGTTTCATGGAAGTAGTTACCATAATCCACAATTCAAAATTGACACTTTCTCATTGTTAAGGTTGCTTATTATGCAATCATCAGCGCCTTCTGTTAATTACAATAAGAAGCAAATAGTGTAGATCTGACTTTCAAACACACAAAAAGATTGATAAAATGCAGATTTGCTAGAGTTGCTAAAGTTTTTCTTTCCTATATGATATACACGGCTTCCTGCTTCGCGCGCTAGCTTTGTCGTTCAACCCTTGCACGGAAAATCAAAGCAAAGGTCATTTGGTGGCAAAACTGCGCCCAGGTGCAGAGTGTTGGTGTTTCGGTTGGGAAGCTGTGCTCGCTGGTGAGCTCTGAGGCCATCCTACTGTAGCTGACCTGGTACTACGGAGCTGTAGCTATTCTTTCCTAGAGGTTTTGGGTCACCCCCATGGAACTCGGGGGTGGTGGTGGCAAAAGCTGTCCCTCTTGTCATTCTGGATGCTCCCTGGCACATCAACAGACAGCACAGAGAAGGTACTTGGGTAGCCCAGCGACAAGCCCTGCTCAGAAGGGATGAAGTCAAATCGGCGAGACTGTGGAGGAGTGCGCAGAGGGAGAGGCTCTGAGGATCAACTGTGCGTGGGGTATTTTGGAGACGCACACACACAGAGTTATTCCTCCCATGCTGTGAGCCAGATAGAGGTGAGCTCAATGTGAACCAAGAGGCGTGAGACCAAGCTGCTGCCTTCATCAAAGCCCATCAGTTCAGGATCAGTTATATCCTATCCAGGTCTACACAGCATCCAGTTTGCATCTGGCTCTCACCCAGCCAGCTAGCTGCATAAGGAGAGCATGTGCATATTTGCCTATGAAAGGCTGTATAAACATACCCTGAAAGAGCTTGGCTTGCTAATCTGGTGACACACAAAGAGTGGAAGGAGAAAGCAGCATTTAAAGTCAAGAACAAGGTTGTCACAGGAGCAGCCATGTATAAAATAGCCTTAAGTATATTTAAACTGGAAATTTGAAGGGATTTTTTAGCCATCAGAGAGCCAGGTTCTTGTGCAGTCTTTTAATAAGCAGAACAGGCCCAAAATAAGAACTGCTTTCAGGATAGGGGTTGTTAATTTTCGGATGGAAATCGGATGGCGTGCTTGTTGTAGTGGAGAGCTGTTGATCAAGCTTTCAGGTAAATCGAAACCCAGAGCCCTGTCCTCTCCTCAAGATAAAACTCATTGCAAAATGAAACATAAAAATTCATTCACATGTGTGCCTTAGTTCTCTTTTACCTGTATGTTTTCTGCTTTTATTCATAGTTTTCAGTTTGTTCTGTCAAATTAATTTTAAATTCTAGGGATTTGCTTGAAAATAATTAAAAAAAAAGGG